TAAAATAAATAAATAAAAATTTATTTGATATATTATTAAAAATAAATATTAAGGCTTTTTTTTTTTTTTTCTTTTATTAACCTTTAACTTTTCTATTCATGAGCTTTAACATGTCTAAAAATCGAGCTCCAACTTATTCATTTAAACTCAAAAAAACCATAAATGAGTTGAGGTTGAGTTGTTCATCAACTCCATTCGTTTGTAATCTAGTTATAACCCTAGGTACAATTTTTTTTTTTTTTTTGGAACAGAAATCTTTATGACAATTAATCCTGGATATTTGCAAACTTTTGATGAGCCAAAACCCAAAGGCCAATTTTGGGCTAGGTTACGTTTTGCGTCGTCTCAGCCCAAACCCCATATACTTCAGCAAAAGTTTGGGCATTAATAATGGGCTCTAACAACAAATTTTTGTTGCTGTTGCATCAATTTCTCACACAGTTTTTTGTTTTTTTAATAACTCCATATCCGGCCGAATGTGAATGTGATTGGGCGGGATGAGCCCAAACGGCATCCTAGCCTTAATGAAAAGTGTTTTTTTTTTTTTTTTTTTTTTTTTTGCCCTTTTTTTTTTTTTAAAAAAAAAAAAAATTTAAAAAAAAAAAAAAAAAATTAAAAAATACACAAAAATACGAAAAATATATTGAATTTTTGTATTTTTTTTAATATTTTTAGTATTTAGTGATTTTTTAAAGATTTTTTTTCATAAAAATTATATGTTTTAAGTATATTTATGTTATGTGTGTAAAAAAAAAAAAAAAGGATAAATTATACTTACACCCTTAAGATTTGAATTTAATGCATATTAGCCATGACGTTTGGAAAATTACACTGACCCCCCTGTTATTGTAATTATTTAGACAGGATTAATGTTGGTATTAGGTGCTGAGCGGATATACCGATCCACCCAAACCAACCTAACCAAACTGATTGGCTGTATTTTGAACGAATGCATAATGACAAGTGGATAAATACGGATTGATTTTCTCCAATTCGCTTACTTTTAGACGGATGGCGAATTGGAGGTTCTTAGGACGCAACCAAACCGTGAGCATCCCTAGTTTGCAGTCTTTGTTAAGATAGAGGTTTGTTGGATTATTATCTGTACTTTAATCATTATTAATAAAACAGATTGGACTGTTATCAAATATATATATATATATATATATATATATATATCGACAAGTTTTATTATGTTTAAAATCTGTAAAATTTAAACTACTAAACCGATTCATATTTATTCGCCAATCCGTTCAATCTGCATCTGCCAATTCGACGGACAGTTGCAAATTGATTTTCTGAAATTCTCCTAATTTTGGATAGATGGCAGATTAGAGATTCTCAAACCGTAACCGAACCGCGAGCACCCCTAGTTGGTATAAAAAAGATATTGAATTCATACACTTTCTCTTTTCTTGCTTTATTTTACTTCTTTTGTTTTTATTTTTATTTCCTTTGCTTTGCTTTGCTTTACTTTTTTTTTCTAATATAATTTCCTTTGTTTTTCTACTAAGATTTAATGCTTTTTATATAAGCAGGGGGTTTGTGAGATGAGGCTATTAACTGCAGGGGTAGAAATGTAATTTCTATAACGTCAGGGAGTGGGATGTAATCAGACCAACCTTAGGGATGTGTCAATATAATTTACCCAAAAAATTAACTTATATTTCATTCAAATCTCCCTTATCTTTTATTTTTTTTATTTTTTTTAAATTCTTACTAAAATTAATCCAAACACAATCTTACTGTTATTATTTGTTTTGAA